TACTGTATGTAAACTGTACTGTTGAGCCTTAACTGAGCTGTGAACTATAGACTTGGACTTCCGTATTTAAACTTTTACTTGATATTATTATCCAAAACTACTAAACTTTAATAAACTAACTTTAAACTTTGAACTTTCAAATGTTGCAATTTTGAAACTTCTTTAAACTTCACACTTGTAAATTATGGAATTCAATTTAAATCAATTCAAATCAGTTAAAGTGAATACAGGCAAACATTGTAGATCAACTTGAAATTTTCAGCTTTGGGGACTTTATGGCTCAAACTTTAAACTTTAAACTTTAAACTTTGAACTTAAACTTTGCATGTATTACTGTATCACTGTAAAACTGTAAAACCGTTCAGTGCAAAGCAGCTCAACTTTGATTTTTAAACTTTAAAATTTTAAAAATTAAACTTTTATCTTGGATTTTTAACTTGAACGGTAACGGAACAGTAATGGCTTTAAATCTTTTGTTGTTTCAATCTTTTGAACTTTAAACACCACCATTTGTAAAGTGTCTTTCTAACCAAAGACTTAAAATCTTAAAGTCAGAAAGTGCAAGGAAGCTTTAGGCTTTGGGCCTTGGGTTTTGGTTTCAACTTTGAGATAATTTGAATTCCCGCCTTCAGCAAAACTTAAGATTGACTTAAGACTGGAAGACTCTAAGACTAAGAGCTGAACTGTATGTGTTTTCATTCAAAGCACAAACTGACACACCGAACAAATATTTTAAGACACTTGAAACTTGAAGCCCTTAAGGACATAAGGCTCTTGGCAAACTTTATTAAAGTCTTAAAGTCTTAAAGGCTTAAAGACTTTGAAACTATTTTAAGTTTTAAGTTTTAAGCTTAAACTTAAAGCTTTAAAGTGCTTCAATGCTTTTGTAATTCCAGAACTGAAGATTCAAGTTCAACGAAAGGTTAAGTGGTTAAGGTGTAATGCTGAAGGCTTAAGGCTTAAAGTCTTAAACGGATGCAAGTGAAATTTAAACTTAAGCTTCAAAATGTAAATTTAAAGTTTCAAAGTTTAAAAGGAGCTTAAAATTGAAGTTTAAAGTTTAAAGTTTAAAATTTAAAGGTTAAAAAAAATAAAACTTAAGATTTTGACTCTAGGGACTCTTAGAGACTCTTAGGGGCAGCAAACTCTAGACTCAGACTGTGTAGACTCTCTAGATTCTGTAGACTCTAGACTTGACTTTACTGTTTTCTTCAGTTTTGGCTTGCCAATGTTTTAGTTTTACAAACGCTTGAGAAAGAATCTTCTGACTTGCGGCGGGGCTTAGACTGTGTTTTTCCCTTCCAGATGGGTGCTTCGAAATTGACAGCAGGATACTGGCACCAAGTCGCTGACACGGAACTGTCAGTGTTGGATGATGTTTTTTGTCGTCGAAACTGTAGGTGAGCAATCGACATGGCTGCAGTGACATTTTTGTGAGTTTAGTTGTGTGACTTATGCTTATGCGGTTTGCTTTCCAGTTTGGGGCCATCTTGAATTTGAACCATTCGACTTAGGCATTGACCACTAGATTGGCTAGATTTACATATTGTCATTTTGTGTCTTCAGTATATGATGCCTTTCAAGTTCTGACTTGACTTTCCTGAGGATTTGGAGCACAAGCAGGGCTCGCTATGACCAAAGCCTGGCCCCTGAGAAGAGCTGGTCCTTGGTAGCTGCATGGGCAGCTGGAACTCTGCAGAAACCTGTGGGCAACCATTGCTTGATATGCAGAAAAGCTGCTTGGCTTTAAATTTGGATGGAGTCGGATGCACTTGACCCTTGATTGATGCAGTTTTCTCCCACACACTTGCTACCACTTGTTTGATACTTGGTAATGTTACCGGTGACGCAAGTACAGAGCATTGACAAAGGTGCCATAATTGTTGCTACTGATTCATATCGCGGCGGATTTGGGACTGACGTTTGGGCGGGGAACACACACAAACAGGTTCACACACAAAAAAAGCTAGTTAAAACTAGTTGATTGCATTGTGCCGTGAGGTTTTACATCAACTTATCATCGGTACAACATGTGTACCAATGGTGAACTGTACTCATGCAACATGTACCGTACCCATGTACCATGTACCGTACCCATGTACCAATGGCATGTACCCAACATGTTGTACCAATCCTAGCGGCTGATCTGGATGATATAGCAAGCAATTTAGCCGCTATATCATACAGATCAGCCGCTAGGATTGGTACAACATGTTGGGTACATCACATTGGTACATGGGTACGGTACATGGTACATGGGTACGGTTCATCAAGGTACACAAGGTACATAGGTAAGTAGAATGGTACATAGCCATGGTACATAGTCATGGTACATGGTTCACATGTACCGTACCCATGTACCATGTACCGTACCCATGTACCAATGGCATGTACCCAACATGTTGTACCAATCCTAGCGGCTGATCTGTATGATATAGCAAGCAATTTAGCCGCTATATCATACAGATCAGCCGCTAGGATTGGTACAACATGTTGGGTACATGCCATTGGTACATGGTACATGGGTACGGTACATGGTACATGGGTACGGTACACCACGGTACGGTACATATGACATAGGGGTACGGTACACAGGTACATAGTAACATGGTACAGTGGTACAGTGCATGTGATACTCTGATACTGTGATACATTGATATGGTACATGAGTACATCACAGAACATAGGAGCCCTGAGAATCTGAAATCTGCAACTGCTGAGAATCCCTGAGCTGTACATGCAGTACACAGGACACTCTCACTGACACTGTACACTGTCCACGCTGTCCACACTGTAGTAGGAGTTCATCCTTAAACTTAAACTTGAAACAAAAAAAATGATGAGTTTAGGCAGGGTTGAAAGTTCGCACACCAAGCATGATGAGTTTAGTTTATAAAGTTGTTTAAAGTTTAAGTTAGTACAATTAGTTAAAGTTTAAAGTTAAAGTTTAAAGTTTAAAAGTTTAAAGTTTAAAGTTTATTAAAGGTTTAGTTTTTAAGGTTTTAAGTTTTAAGTTTAAACACCACACATGATGAGTTTAGGGTTTAGAGTTCCAAAAACACACATGATGAGTTAAGGGTTTAGGGTTCAAACAGCACACATGATGAGTTTAGGGTTTAGAGTTCGAACACCATACATGATGAGTTTAGGGTTGAGGGTTCGCACAACAAACATGATGAGTTTGGGGTTTAGGGTTTAAACTTTTAACTTTAAACTTTAAACTTTTTAACTAAAGTTTTAACACCACACATGATTAGTTAGTTTTGGGTTTAGAGTTCCAAAAACACACATGATGAGTTTAGGGTTTAGGGTTTAAGCAGCACACATGATGAGTTTAGGGTTTAGAGTTTAGAGTTTAGAGTTTAGAGTTTAGAGTTCGAACACCACACATGATGAGTTAAAGGTTTAGGGTTCCAAAAGCACACATGATGAGTTTAGGGTTGGGAGTTCGCACAACAAGCATGATGAGTTTGGGGTTTAGGGTTTACACACCACACATGCTGAGTTCAGGGTTTAGGGTTCCAAAAAACACATGATGAATTTAGGGTTTAGAGTTCCAAAAACACACATGATGAGTTTAGGGTTTAGGGATCAATCAGCACACATGATGAGTTTAGGGTTTAGAGTTTAGAGTCTAGAGTTTGAGTTTAGAGTTCGAACATCACACATGATGAGTTAAGGGTTTAGGGTTCCAAAAGCACACATGATGAGTTTAGGGTTGAGGGTTCGCACAGCAAGCATAATGAATGTGAGATTCAGGGTTCGAAAACTACACATGATGAGTTTAGGGTTTAGGGTTTGAACACTACACATGATGAGTTCAGGGTTTAGGGTTCCAAAAAAAAACACATGATGAGTTTAGGGCTTTAAGTTCCAAAAACACACATGATCAGTTTAGGGTTTAGGGTTCAAGCACCACACATGATGAGTTGAGGGTTTAGACTTCGAACGCCACACATGATGAGTTCAGGGTTTAGGGTTCCAAAAAAACACATGATGAGTTTAGGGTTGAGGGTTCAGCAACACACATGATGAGTTTAGGTTTTAGAGTTCGACAGCCACACATGATGAGTATAGGGTTTAGTTTAGGGTTTAGAGTTCGAACACCACACATGATGAGTGTAGGGCCAGGGTTTAGGGTCCAAAAAAGCACACATGATGAGTTCAGGGTTGCACACACGTGATGAGTTTAGGGTTTTAAGTTGGGGTGCCGAAAAACACATGTTGAGTGTAGGGAGACGTGCGAGAAAACAATTTTAGGCAGGTGAAGTTGAGAGGACGGTTTCGAAAGAAACAAACATGATATAGTGAATATAGTAGAATAGTATAGAGTCTATATACTTTAGAGTCTATGTCTATACTATAGAGTCTACTAACTATAGTACTAGATTGGATTTGATTAGATTATGATTATATTATATACCCTGAATCACATTGCTACATCACATAATCATCCTAAACACCACAGGTCGTTGTAAATAACATGATCTCTGATCTCTGAAACTTCATACACCCTAAACTCCTTCTCCTGACTACCCTTCACCTTTCCTGACCTCGTCAACCCTTTAGCCTTAGCCTAAAGGGGCTAAATCTCTTAACTTCATGGGCCAACCAAGAATTAGATTAGTACACCTAGGGGCCTAGGGGCATATTAATGTTATTGTTGATGTTGCCGGTAAGTTGCTTTTTGGATGTTGACTGACCGCTGAAGTTGTTTAGGCTGCAGACCTTGGGGGCCATTTGGCGAAGCTGTGGTTGCAAGAAAGGGGCGAGGAAAAACACGTTTGTTTTCCATTTTCCAGTGTTTTTCTGCTGAACTAGTTGATCATGGCTTCTGAACGTTGTGGGTTCTGCCGGCTGACCCATGACCAGTCACAGAGTTTGTGTGGATGTGGATAAATCACCCAACTGTGACATTATCATAGCTCCTGCAGGGATTGTTTTTCTTCATCGATCCGGATCCGCCTGATTTTTTTTGGCTTCCGAGGAAGCACAAGTCGATGTCCGTGATGGACAAAGTCATGGACAATGAGCCCTCGGAGAATCATGACTTCCTGAAGACAGTGGATCGCCTAGTGAAACTCAAAGCCGAGAACCCAAAAATTCGGTTGAGTGGGCCCAATCCGTTGAGGGAAACCATCGTGGTTTCAGAGGAGGAGAAGGTTGGAATGCGTGGCCCGAAACGCAAGTTCCTGGAACTGTCCAAATACGAACAGCGATTCGGGCCGGCGCCGCCCGGACAGATCAAAACTATTTCCTTCAAGGGCCAGAAAATTCGAGGTGTGGACGTCATCAATGAAGAAGACGAGTCTTGTCATGACTCATGCATCGATGTTTCCATTGGTATGGTTTGTGGCAGGTATTCATGTTGTGTTTTTTCCCTGGCTGAGTCTTTGCGTCTATGCTAGTCCACCATTTTAATTTTAAGAGAGTGAATTGGCACAGGCCGACCTAGCCGATGGATTTGTGTACATTCACACTCATTGATTGAGAATCCCAAGGCCACAATTCAATTGAGCGGCAATTCAGTGTAGGTTCAGACACTTGTTATCACTTGTCTGACTCATGGCATGGGATCTTGCGGGTTCATCAGTTTCTGCCGTTTCTGCCATTTTTTTTTGCTGTGCCTCCAAGGAAGGAGTCTACGAATATATAGAAGAAACTTCAAAGATGCTTGGTCGCCACACGGAATTGAATGAGCCAGATTTAGATGTTGGTGGCACTGAGAACTTCTACATGGCAGCTCTCCAACAAATCAATGCGGGTGCTGCAAGTTCCAGTGGGCAGGCAGTGACGATTCCAACATCGCAAGGACCAACGTCCAGTGGGAAATCTAGGATTGAAGATGCTGCGAAAGGAGAAGCTGGCGCTGGCAATTTGGATGAGGAGACCTGTTTGACTCTTTGTAATCTATATTTAACTTTAACTATCTATCTTTGATGCTGATACCGATACCGATACACTGGTACCGATTTACTTTTTCACTAGCCTTTCTTTTTCCATTCATTAAGACTCGTATACAACAGTGTAGTGTAGTGTACAGTGTGCAGTATATGATATGTGATGTAGTGATACATGATGTGGGAGACTTGAGATGTTTTCCCTCCTCATTATGGACAGCATCGCAGTGCTTGCAACACACATTGCCAAATTGCGGTTTGTTTGGTTTACGGAGTTTATTACTGATACCGTACCTGATCAATGTTTCAATCGCATTATGTCATTATGAGAATCAAAAGTAACTCAACGCTATCACAAGGTAAAGATTTGATGAGATACTCACACAAGGCATGGATCTGATCTGAACATATCTTTCTTGCAGTGGTTTCAGATTCTTTGTGCAGGAGAGTGAGGACGATGAGGATGTCCAACCATTTGCGAGGCTGTTTGCACGAGTGAGTCAAGCCAACTCTGTTGTTGAGACCAACAGCAGCGGCGTGGGCATGCCAGTGCCGAAGCCAGCCCCCAAGCCACGGTCGGGTCCCAGTGCTAAGCAGCCTTCGCAGAAGAATAAGAACACCAATGCCGCCAATGCCAATACCAATACTGGTGGCAATGGTGGCAATCTCCCCGATCCAGACAAGAGATCTGAGAAAGGTGATGAACCAAATGACCATGACCATGTGACACTTCCTGGAAGTGATGATGAACCGCTTGTACCGGAGCCAAAGAACAAGCGCGTGAAGGGAGCAAAGCAGAAGCCAGGCGGAAGGACCTCTGATGCTTCTGCCCGGGTTGGCCCTGGCAAAGAGGTGGTGCAGACTGGTGATGGTGAGGATATGAGCACAGAAGACCGGGAGGTCGTGAGTAGGTTCGAGGGCCTAGTCCAGGAACACAAAGAGATGAACCCTGGCCCAGACTTTGCGCAATGGAGCAAGGACAGTTGAGCATCCACGGCATTTCCAGTGGGCATGCGAGTGCCTATCTATCCCTTGTGACTCCTGATTCTTGTTGCTCTGTGACCAGTGACAAGGTTGTGATGCGTCGCATCAGTGAAAATGACACATATTTCATATTCAGATTCATATTCAGATTCATTATTCACAGATTCCTGATTCACAGTTTCACAAGTTTGACATATTCTACATATTCTTAGATTGTCAGATCTTAGCCTGAGTATGAATCACCACAGGTCCTTCGTACAAATACTTTTTTCTTTGGTAAGTTCATTCATTTGATCTGGCAATTCGGATTTGTTTTGGTCCGCGCTTTCTCTTTGGAGGACAGAATTGCAGCGCTGACGGAGCTGCGCAACAACATTCAGTCCAAGCAGAAGTCTCTGAAGCGAAGACGTGGCGAAAGTTCGGTCTCGTCGTCAACTGTGTCTTTGAAGGAAGGGCTGACGAAGCTGCTGGAGGAGCTCTCCACCTTGATTGACCTGACACGACGGTTGAATGCTTGCGCTCCCACAGAGGGGAAGAATCTCTATGATGCCATTTTGGCGGTCAGTGGTTTGACTGTGGGACAAGAGGTGTGGAAGAGAGCCATGAAAGCTTGGACCTACGAGGCTGGGCCTTTTTTTTGGCCTTTTTTTTGGAGGGGGCAACAGTGGCAACAGCCGGCTGTTCTGAGAGATTGAATCGCATAGTAGCACCGTAGCCGACTACAGTTTCTGAGCAAATCAGATTGGACAGACAAAGTGTTATGTCTGTTATGTCACATTATAATTTATATGTCATAGTCATAGTGAGTCATAGGGTTATGTCATGTGCTGTCCTGGTACAGAACTGCACTTGTACTGTGTACTGAGACTGGGTGGTGTTTCAGTTTCACTTGGTCCTGACTGAAGGTGCTGAAGCTGGCTTCCTGGGACTGCTTTTTCGATGAGGTTTTGGCACATTGCAAGAAACACCTTCCGGATTGTCCGGAATTCTTTATGAGCCTTGCCAACTTCGTTCTGACGAGACTGGTGAAATCTGTACCAACGTCCAAACCGATCAGCGCTGAGTCCACCGGGTTCCTTCGCAACTTCGTTGACTCTCTGGCGAAGCATGCCAGTGCAACCGGATCTGGCATGGACCACGAAGACACGCTGTTGGATCTTGCAGCGGTGTTGAATTTCGGAGCTGCACCAGGACTACGTTTCTCTTTCAGAACCCGACCACATGTTTTTTTTTGAAACGACGGTGCCCTCAATTCATCCACGCTTGAACTTGGACTCAGACTGTCAGACTACTTAAAAGCATAGTGACTTGACTTGGGATTCCTGGGGTCCTACATTACTGCTTTCTATCTTTCTATAATTCAATAATAATTCATAATTCATAATTCTATACTTTAGTAAGCTTTAGTACCTTTAGTAACTTTAGTTCTTTAGTAACTTTAGTACAGTACCTATATAGCCACTATACGACTATACCTTTACTATACTGCTAATTACTAATACTGTACTGTTAACTTACTGTTAACTGTTTGGTAACTCTTTAAACTTTAAACTCTTTAAACTTTAAACTTTAAACTACTTTAAACTTTAAACTTTAAACTTTTAGACTCTAGACTCTAGACTAGACTCTAAAGTACTCTAAAGTTTAGTTTTAAGTTTTATATTTTAAAGTTTAAAGTAGCTAAACTTTAAAACTTTAACGCTTTAACTTTAAACCTTAAACTTTAAACTTTCAATCTTCTTTAAAATCAACTTTAATATCTTTGAAAATATATTAATATACTACTATACTCAGTATAGTATACTCATACTCCATTGCTTTACTAACTAAAACAATATAATAACAGTAACAGTAAAATCAGTAAAATAAACCTACAATTCATTTCAATACTTTCAATACTATACTAACACTTTTTGCAATTTTAATATAATAATAATTTTAAATAATAATACATCGTAACATATTTGAATATTTATAGTAATATTTATCAATAGCTTAAATTTAGAATATAGTATTTTTTTTAGTAATATAGTAATATAGTATCCTTGAACAAATGACACAGGACGGGTGATCAAATTCTGCGAGAACCTGGACAATTCCGAGCACTGGGCCGTTCAGGCCCTTGCTTCAAAGGAGGGCAAGAAGATCACCCAGGCCATGCTAGAGAACGCGCGCAAGCGCGAGTCAAACACGAAACTTCTTGAGGCGATTGAAACTGCAATTCGGGAGCAGCTTGGCAAATCAGATGTGGCCGGGCTGGGAACATCCGATCATCTCAGAAGCTAAGTGTTTTTTGTTTGACATTGCCATGTTGATGTGCTGATTTGCAAAATGCAGTTGGAGGAGGGCCCAGGGGATATGTGATTTGGTCCTATTTGGGCATTTTTGGGATCGCATTTTCATTATCCCCCAGGGTGGTGTGCCATTGTTTCCGTTTCCGGGTTCCGTGTTGTCTTGCGTCTTCCATTGTTTACTATTAGTCATTAGTTATTAGTCTACTAGTGAGTCTGTTAGTCTTTTAGTACTTGTACCCACATTCACGCTGTACTTATACCAAGACCAACACTAATTAACTGAACTGCATTTAGTTTAAGAATCGAGTCGAATCCAAACCTTAGCCTGGGCTTGGTCCTTCCCCAGAATGTCCAGATCTCTTCCACCTTCTTGCCTAGGCTGGAGAAGACAGGACTTTGTGAACCAGGCATTGACTTGGAGCAGGTGAAGGATCGCTTCACTGCTGAGCATGGAAAGCTCGTCAACACTCATTACACATTCGTCAGCACCAGTAGCTTCAAGTGCCTCAAGGGAGCTGAGCGTGACAGCGTGACAAAGCTGCGAGAGACAACACGGGCAGCAGCCCAACTCATCGTGAGCTCCTTCATCCACAACGATTTCCTGCCTTACATGAGCGACCTTGAGAGCGGATTCACCTTCAAAAAAGCCAATGTGAATCCAGTCCTGACTGATGAGTCATGCCTTTGCCAACTTCAGGGTGGTGCTTTAGGCAACGGCAGTGGTCAGGTGATCGAGACTTTCAAGGAGTTCAGCGTTTTCATGAAGGACTTAGCAGCCACAGCCGCTTTGCTTTTCGATCCCGACAACACTGAGGGCATGGAGGCAGTCAAGGCCCAAACGTGGGTTCGCAAGTGGCAAAGCCAATCTGGTTCGCTGCTGAAAGCTGTGGAGGCATTCGAGAAGACAGCGCCGGCCAGTTCTGAGCAGGATTCTGTCCTTGCGGCAGCTATGATCCTTGACACAGCTAACCTTGATGGTACTTTTTGATTTTCCATGGTTTTCGTCTTATGATTTGTGTTTGAGTGAGTGAAGACTCACCAAGACATTCAAATTCAAAGCATTCAAACGTCCGAAGTCCAAAGTTGAACTTCAAATTTGCAATTATTTATTTTTACAGTTTTACAGTTTTACAGGATCTACAAACAAATATATATTACAAATATACAGACAAATTTCAACTTAAACTTACTTTAACTTTAACTTTAAACTTTAACTGTAACTTTAAACTTCAAACTTTAAACTTAAACTTTAAAAACTTTAAACTTTAAACTTTAAACTTAAACTTTAAACTTTAAAATACTTTAAAACCTTTAAACTTTTAAACTTTTAAACTGCACAAACAAATACGGTCCAAATACGATTTCGATTCAACGAACGAATCAAAACTCAAATTGACACGGTAAATATTTAGTTATGTTAAGGGCCAACAGTGCAAACAGTCAACTTCGAACCTTCCTGATTCCATGATTCATTCCTCAACTTTTTTGATTGATGTCATTTGCCGCCGCTTGACTGTGATAAGGAAAGGTGTGGTGGACAACATGGAGACGTGTGTGCAGGAGATCTTTGGCGAGCAGCTGCAATCGAAAGCTGCTGAGTGCACCAAACCAGGATTCGATTTGCTGCATGGATTTCTGGAGGATGAAGGGTTCCTGACAAAGGAGCGCTTTGCGGAGTTCAAGAAGTGTTTTGAAGAGGCATGCCTTATCGCAACAGCACTGCCCAAAGGCGACGCGTTCAGAGCCGCGCTTCCGACTATGTCCGAGTTGGTGGAGATGGCCTTCCTTTGCCATGGTCCCGAGAAAGATTCCGTGACAACAAAGTATGCATTCATCAAGCAAGCAAATCTCTGTGCTGAGAAAGGTGAAGGTGAGGTGATGGATGCACTCACCGATCTTGCCAAGGTCACCACGCTGCGCGAAGATGCGAAGCTGCTTGAGTTGGCTCATTTGCACGGGAAGCTTGTGGCCCAAGGCAAAGAAGTATTTGTGCAGCTTCGGGAAGCTTTCGTGCAGAAACTGGATCAAGCTACAGTGAAGATCTCCATTCCGAGCGAAGTGGAGACGATGTGCACATTGGACTCCATCACCTCGGAATTTTTGGACAGTCAGTTCAACATGAAGACATCGTCTGCCGTGTCGGACAAGGCCATCAGCATGAGCACACTGCTTCGCGACGTGTCGGTCGCTTGCTCCTACATGGGCATCAAAGCCGATGACTTCCTGGACCTTAAGCCCTACGAAATCAACAACCGCGAGGGGCTCACCTTTTTGTGCCTTGACAATTTTGGATGTCTTGGGTTCTTTTGGCTTCGCACAGTGCTTCGGATGATTCGGATGTCTTGGATGTGATGTGCTGAATGTTTTGTACTTTTACTTTACTCTACCTATACTAGACCTTACTTTACTTTACTATACTATACTATACTACTATACTAACTATAACTGAGACGAGACTGTGACTGTAACTATACTACTATACTATTCTATTCTATTCTATTCTATACTATACTATACTATATACTATACTATACTATACTATACTATACTATACTATACTATACTATACTATACTATACATAATAATATAATAGTCAATAGTCAATATCACTATACTATACACTCACTATACTAACTATTTACCGTTTACCTGCTGACTTACAACTTATATAATAATTATAATTTATAATAATAATTATTATTATAGGTATAAGTTATAAGTTATAATTAGTTATACTCGTCTGTACACGCGAAAAGGATCCTCTTCATCCAATTAATTCATCTATATAAGTTCATAGTGTTCTACAACATCACCTTTTATTTTCTCCATGTCTATCCTCTACAACATCACCTTCTTCTTTTTATTTCCCACATCAACAGCATCATCCACATGTATTGGCAACAGCCATGTTATTTAAACTTTTCACAACCTGCAGGATATTACCGGCATCATCCATCATTTACAAGCAGCAAACCAAGAAGTCGGGGGGCGTAAGGTTCCAAGATAAAAACCTATAGGGTTGCAAATGTTCAAAGGACAAGTGCCTATAGGAAACGGTTGTGGGCCTTGAACAGGGCATACTAACAGTACTAACATCTCATGGCATCTCACTCCTTCTTCTCTACCCCTTTTCATCTCATCTCATCTCATCGCATTTCATCCTCATCTCATATCACCACCGGTAACTGATCATGAAAGAGTAGTGCCTGTGTTTGCCGGAGAGCAAGAAAGATGATCAGGTTGCGTGTGCCTGTGTGTGAACAGGAACATGAACGTTATTACCCCACCCCACCCCACCCCAGCGGTAACTGATCAGCCAAGAGGTTTGGTGTGCCTGTGTGTGCACAGGAACATGAACGTTATTAGCCCACCCCGCCCCACCGGTAACTGATCAGCCAAGAGTAGTGCCTGTGTCTGCAGGACAGCAAGAAAGATGATAAGGTTGCTGTGCCTGTGTGTGAACAGGAACATGAACGTTATCACCCACCCCACCCCACCCCATCCCCAGAAAGGTGCCTGTGTCTGCTGGAGAGAGGAACGATGATAAGGTTTGCTGTGTCTGTGTGTGCACAGGAACATGAACTCTATTAGCCTTGCCCACCCCACCCCATCCCCGAAATGTGTGTACAGATGAACCGGGTCTGTGTGTACAGATGACCCTGATTTGTGTGCGCAGATGACCCTTCATCCTCTACTATATAACTATATGCTTCTATTCTATACTATTCTAAATATATTCTATAAACTATAAACTCTTTTGTTACTCTACTATACATACTATATCTACTATATAAATACTATTATATACTATACTATACTATATAAACTTAACTTATACTATAAACTATAAACTATAAACTTTAAACACTATATATATAAATACTAAATAAATATTATTATTTAATAATTTAATATATATATATATATATACATAGTATCAAACTTTACTACTATATACTTTGTACACTAATTGTATAGACTCTAGGCTCCAGACCCTAGACTCTCAAACCCACTGACGGACCGAAAGGTGGTTGAAGCTCTGAGTCTCTCCATATCTCCATCTCTCTCTCTCTCTCTCGCTCTCTGTTTGCCTTCTTTTTGTGTCTCTCTCTCTCTCTCTTTCTCTTCCTATTTCTCTCTCTCTCT